CCTTGAATTATTCAGGTTTTTAAAAAATTGTTAATGTTCTTAGTATCTTTCAGTGGTGCTGTGAACTGCACTGAACAGGCAAGGTAATGTATAGACCTTGTTTTCTGATAGCCTGGCGTTTGTAATGTAATGACTCTTTTTACTCCATCCAGGACAGCAAATGGGCCAGCAAGCACCTTTTGTGCATTTTCTAATCTCTTGCTTTGGAAGTCCTGCTGTGTGGAGGACAGGGACACAAAGTGTTTTCTCTGTAGGCACTGGCAGTATATTTTCTATATAGTTCCTTGGTATTATGCATTTTCACTCATTGCAGAGAGGTTGAATTATTATCGATCAGATAAGGACTAGTATTCTTCAAGGTAAACCTTCCTGGTCGACACCCTGATTCCCAGGCTATTGGAGTGCTTCAAGCATGGATGCTTCTTGAAAATGACTTTCAGGACCATGACCTCCCCCGACCTACCACTGCCCCAGCACTGGGGTTCAAGCCCAGAGACTAGCACATGCTAGGCATATGCTTTACCACTGAGCTACACTCCCAAACTTTGCTCTTTTAAATGTCCTTAAAAGTAGATCATCAGCTGGGTGTGGTAGTCCTGGGGATTACAGGGATTGTACACCTATAATTTCAGCAGTTTGGGAGGCTGAGGCAGGGGGACTGCAAGTTTGAAGCCAGCCCCATCAATTTAGCAAGACCTTAAGAAACTTAGTGAGATCTTGTCTCAGAATAAAAAAATAAAAAGGGCCAGGGATGTGGCTTAGTGGTAAAGTGCCTCTGGGTTCAATAATCAATACCAAAAAAAAAAAAAAAATGTAGATCATCGTCAACTTGTGCTGGTCCATTTGATTTTTGAAAGTCAAGGGTATGAGTTATGGAAAATAGGGTAGATAAAGTAGGTTATCATTTTATCAATCTGGGTCATGATGCTTTGGGTCTGAAGGTTGAAGCATAATCATGAGGTTAGGATTTCCTTGATGATGATCTTGATTCAAATATCAGTTATAATATTTATTAGCTATGTAATTTTTTTTTGGGGGGGTACTGGGGATTGAACCCAGGGACACTTAACCACTGAGCTACATCCCCAGCCCATTTTTGTATTTTATTTAGAAACTCGTTCTCACTGAGTTGCTTAGGGCTTCACAAAGTTGCTGAGGCTGGCTTTGAACTCGAGATCCTCCTGTTTCAACCTCCTGAACCGCTGGGATTACAGGTGTGTGCCACTGGGCCTGGCCTAGCTATGTAATCTTGAGCAAGTTATTGAACCTCTCAGACCTTTACTTTCTTTATTTGTAAAAAGGACATGGTTGTACCTACTTCTTAATGTTGTAAGGATTAAATGAGATCCCAGTGAATAATAAGAATTGAGGTAGCTGGGTATGGTGGCACATGCCTGCCATTCCAGTATCTTGGGAGGCTAAGGCAGGAGGATCTCAAGTTCAAAGCCAGCCTCAGCAATTTAGTGAGGCTCTAAACAACTTAGTGAGAACCTGTCACAAAAAAAAAAAAAAAAAAAGTCAGGGATATCGTTCAATGGTTAAGTGTCCCTGGGTTCAATTCCTGTAACCCTCCAAAAAAAGGTGGGGCTAGTATTAGCTACCTTTGACCTGTCCCATTTCCTGGTATCACATCAGGAAGCCATTATTTAACCTAGGGGAGGAGACTGTACCTACATGACAAACTCAAGTTCAAGTTAAGGCTGTCCTCAGCAGTGGTGGACACAAAGACAGGCAACATTCCTTACTCCTCAGTTGGGTTTTGGCCTCTAGTCAATCAACATGAGCTAAGGATGGGCTACCATATTGCTAATCACTCAAGGAAAAACCCCAGGGAGGGGGAGGTAGTTGAGAGCCCGACGCCTTGGCAGTGGTCTGGTGTGAGGAATTTGCTGAGGACTCCAGTTAAGGCCAAACACCCAGGATCTTGTGACTGCAGAGAGGACAAATGAATAATTTAACTCATTTTCTTTTGTATAATTTATACTTACAAGACATGTTTAATTCATGTTTCTATCTCTTGTGGAGGCCTTTCCCTTGAGTGGAATGGTGGGGGTGGGGAGTGGTGATCTCAGAAGGCTTTGTCACCTCCCTTGACTCTGTGGCCCCAGGGCCTGTCCCAGGGCTGGGGTGCAGGGCACACATTGTTCTCCCATTGTTCTGTGTGCTGACTGAATCTGAACTCACTGTAGGAAAGGAAGCACACCCCTAGTCAGCTCAGCTGCAGATGTGCAGCCCAGGAGCCCACATTTTTCAGTGTCCTGGGAATCACAGCAGTGGGTGGGGGATCTTGCTGTCTTCCTGCTGACAGATTTTTTAGATTAAGTCTTAGTCCTTGATGTCCCAGCTCCTGCCTGTCTTTTCAGAGTCATCTCTTGAACTTTCTCTCTCCTTGTTGCTCCCTTTGGCAAGATTAATCCACATTAAGGTTTCTGAATGCATCTCCATCTCTCCCCACCTGTCTCCCTTCCCGCCTCTGACTGTGCTCTTCCCTCTGCCTGAAACACTTTGCTTTTCTTTCCCAATGCCATCCTGACTATCTCTCAACTATTTAGGGCTGGTAGATCTCATAACACCTGGGTTCTTTTCTATCACAGCATGTTCCATAAATACAGCTGTCATGAAATATCTCTAAAATTTGAGTGGTCATGGGCATGGACCCTTTCTCTCTTGCTCACCATTACAACCTGTGTCTGGCATGAAGCCTAATAAATGTGTGTTGAGTGAATGTTGGGGCCTGCCCCAGGGATGGCTTACCTTCTTTAGGGAGGCCTGCCTAGAGTTTTGTGGAGGTTATATACCAAGCAGGCAGGGGATGAGTAGAAGGACTCTGTTCAAGGGACTGATTATCACTATTGCTGAGATGTGGGTTGGAATTCTTGCTGAAATGTGCCCACAAAATAATTCCCATTCCTTGGTGTGCTGGGGCTTCCTTGAGATGTCCCTTCTGTGTTCAACCCTTCCCTTTGCATTGCCTCTTTTTTTACATGCATCTGAGACCCTAATGAAGGGCATGCTTTATGTGGATCCAGGAAGATGCTGTTGCCACCCTTTCTCCTTTCACAAGGTGAAAGAGGCATCTCTGAGTGATCAGATCTCAGGGACCCTCTGCTCCTCTCCCTGAAACACTGGTCAGTTGACAGCTTTAGGCTACTTTCTTGGGAAAGGGCAGAACACAGGTGCTTGGGCAGGAGGACAGGGAAAGGGTTGTGCATTTGATTCTTGGAAAAGGTGTGTGTACGTAGACCTGTGTTCCTTTGTGGGATGTGGAGCCCTACAGACCTGTACAGAGCCTCTGAGGGGGTGGTTTCTTTCCCCCCAGACTGTATAGGTGCCAAATGTTTCAATTCTAAGTGAAGGCCCAGCAACAACCTTGGAATCCATGCTACCTCTCTGAGGTGAGGAGGCTGGCTGCCTAGGGCAGCCTGCCATTCCCAGTCTGCTTAGCAGGTGCTCCTTCATGCAGAGGTCAAGGGCTCAGCACATCCAGGGACCACCTGGTAGCTGTCACTTTCAAATTGGGCTCCTTTCATTTGGGGGTGGAGATGCAGTGTGGGAGTGTGAGTTTCCTGGGGTCTCTCTGGCAGGTCTATAACTTGACCCAGGAGTTCTTCCGGCATGGTAAACCAGTCAACGCTGAGAGTCAAAACAGCGTAGGGGTGTTCACCCGGGAGGAGGTGCGCAATCGCATCAGGGATGACCCTGACGACCCGGAGGCCACCAAGCGCCTGAAGCTTGCCATGATCCAGCAGTACCTGAAGGTATCTTTGCTATTAAGTACAGCTGTCAGAGTGAAGAAGCCTGATTCTGGGGGAGTCTGGGTCTGAGGAGGGCTGTGCTGCCCAGAGTTCTTGTTCTTTGCCCAGCCTGGCTCTGGTGTCATTGGCTTCTCTCTGGGTCCTCCCACAGGTGGAGAGCTGTGAGAGCAGCTCACACAGCATAGACGAGGTGTCCCTGAGCGCCTTTGGGGAGTGGACGGAGATCCCCGGTGCCCACCACATCATTCCCTCAGGCTTCATGCGGGTTGTAGAGCTGCTGGCCGAGGGCATCCCCTCCCACGTCATCCAGTTGGGGAAACCGGTCCGTTGCATTCACTGGGACCAGGCCTCAGCCCGCCCTCGGGGCCCTGAGATTGAGCCCCGGGTTGAGGGCGACCATAATCATGACACCGGGGAGGTTGGTCAGAGTGGAGTGGGTCCCCAGGGGGGCAGATGGGATGAGGATGAGCAGTGGCCGGTGATGGTGGAGTGCGAGGACTGCGAGGTGATCCCCGCGGACCACGTGATCGTGACCGTGTCGCTGGGCGTGCTGAAGAGGCAGTACACCAGCTTCTTCCAGCCAGGCCTGCCGGCAGAGAAGGTGGCTGCCATTCACCGCCTGGGCATCGGCACCACCGACAAGATCTTCCTTGAATTCGAGGAGCCCTTCTGGGGCCCAGAGTGCAACAGCCTGCAGTTCGTGTGGGAGGACGAGGCCGAGAGCCGCACCCTCACCTACCCGCCCGAGCTCTGGTATCGCAAGATCTGCGGCTTCGATGTCCTCTACCCGCCTGAGCGCTATGGCCACGTGCTGAGTGGCTGGATCTGCGGGGAGGAGGCCCTCGTCATGGAGAAGTGCGACGATGAGGCGGTGGCTGAGATCTGCACGGAGATGCTGCGTCAGTTCACAGGTGCGCCCTCTGCCGCCCTTTCCACCTGACCCCTTCCTCAGCCAGCTTCCCCGGGAGACCCTTGGCAGCTCTCCCCCGCCCCCTCCCCCCTCCCCAGACTGTGAAACCCAGATGGCTGTGGGCACCAGGAGCCACTGCAGGGCACCAGCTTGGCTCCTAAATTGCTGACACTCTCACTTCAGAGCATGAAACTCTCAATGGGTGCTGTGTTTTCTTCCCCTTCTAAGGACTGATGGCAAAAACACTGCCCATTCCTTTCCCATGGTCTTCCTAAGAGTCGGATTTGATTTTTATAATCTGATTGTTTTAGTGAAACATCCTCTACACATATTTCCAGGAGAATTTAACAGAGACCCCTGACATTAGATGGGAAATATGATTATCTGTAATTTTTTTTTTTTTTTTGCAGTGCTGGGGATTAAACCCCAGCCTTGGGCTAGGCTAATGCTGTACCAACTGAGCTACATTCCCAGCTCCCGTAGTTATTTTTAAGATAGGACAATTAGGACCCTGAGAGATGGAATGTTCTGCTGGGGGTCACCCAGAGGTGATGAGTGGGCCTCCCTCCCTCCCTCCTCCTCCACCCTCAGTGCCTTCTCCAGGCAGCCTGGTATTCCTGGAGCCCTGGAGGTGGGGTGGAGTTGTTCATTCTGGGATGCCTTCTGTATGTATGCAGCCTTGTTTCTTATCCTTCCTCCTCTTGGCTCTTCTGACTCCCCAACAGGGAACCCCAACATTCCAAAACCTCGGCGAATCCTGCGCTCAGCCTGGGGCAGCAACCCCTACTTCCGAGGTTCTTATTCATACACACAGGTGGGCTCAAGCGGGGCAGATGTGGAGAAGCTGGCCAAGCCCCTGCCCTACACCGAGAGCTCTAAGACAGCGGTGAGTGGGGATGTGTTTGGTGAGAGGCCTGGGAGTGGGTGTGTGGGTATTTCGTGTGTGTCTGGTCCAGGTTGAGGAAGGGTACGAGGTAGTGTTCACTAAGATGTGCTAAAGTCAGGCAGCAGTGGAGTGGCACCTATAATGAAAGAGAAAACAAGACAGTGTGCGCTTAACATCTGGAAGAAAAAAAAAATGGAATCAAATTGAAACTTTAAATGCTTTCTTGGGATGATAAAAACTGAGCCATTTCATTCTGTTAGTTAATATGGTAGCAGTTAGTCATATTTGATTTAAATTAACTAGAATTTAAATTAATAAATTAAAAATTTCATTTCTTGGATGCATTAGTCACATTTCAAATTTAATAGCCACATGTGGCAAGGGGCTATCCTGTTGGATTATGCAGCTATAGAATTTTTCAGTGTCATGGAATGTTCTATTGGATAGCATTGATTCAATGGAAATATTTTCCCACCATGTTTTAGAAAATAAAATTAAGAACATGACCCACTCCAAAATTATGTCACCTGTACACTAAAAAAAGGTAAATTTGAGAGAAATATATATTTTTGTTTCCACAAAGTGGATTTTTGGTTTTCCCAACTAAGTGTACATATAACAATAAATGTTAAAACCCCCACAGAATTAAATTTAAAACAATTCTTTGGAAAATTGGCAAAAGAAATTTCAGTCAACCAAGGTACACTGTGTCTGCCCTGCTATGCTCAGAGGGAAAAAGGAAAGGGGTCTTCAGAGAGGTCCCTACCACTGCCATAGCCATCTTTGCAAAAAGTAAACCTCTTATCACCTGCCTCAGGACTAGTGTATGTAAAAAGGCAAAGTAAAACAAAAATAACTGTGGCTTAAACAAGACAACTTTACTTCCAGCACACAAAAGGAAATTTGGAGGTAGGCGTCAGGACCTAGTATTATTAGTTACTGACTTTTATCTTCAGGGCCACCTTATGGCCCAAGAAAGGTGCAGAGGCTCTGGATCTTTCATCTGCCTCTTAGTCTAGAAGAAGGAAAGGCAGATGGGCAAAAAAGGGGAATCCCTTGGAGCTGAGACATGGATCTCTAAGCAACCATGCATTTGCATCTCATTGGCCAGCACTTTGCCATGTGACCACACCTTGATGATGGAGAGGCTGGGCCACATCATTTTTATTTGGGATGACATCTGGCCCAATTAAAAACTAGGGCTTTATAATTGAGGAGATAGAGGAGAAAGGGTGGATGTGGGAACAGGTGTCTGCTACAACATCCTTCCCGCCACCTTTTCTGTTTAACAACCTCTATGGGTTCCTTGTTGGTGGTATTCAGCTTCATCTGGGAACTTATTAGGAAAGCACATTCTCAGTGCCCCCAAGAAATGATGGATTAAAAACTGCATTCGATCAGGCTCCACAGCTGATGCCTTGGCATTTGCAGTTTGAAAGGCACCAGAATAAAATCCACACACAAGTTTGGGATGCAAGAACTTGAACTTTGCCTGGACTTTACCAAGAGAGCCTGCTTTCTCCAGGTTGATTCCTGGATATACAAAACATTGCACTTTGCCCCCAGTGTGGAGCATTTTTTGCTCCCACTTTTACCTTTCTCTGAATGTTCTTTGCCTCTGTTCATCCAGCATCTTCTGAGAACTGGCCCAAAGGTCCTCTCCTCTGGGAAACTCTGTGGGATCCACCAGGCCTCTTTTCTGAGCCATTGGCACCTCACCCAAACACCTACCACATCATGTATGACCGTTGTTTAGTAATTGGGTTTCATGTCTGGCTTCCCCACCAGCATGGAAGCACCACAAAGCAGCAGCCTGCTCACCTTTTATCATCCAAGTGCCCAGAACAGTCCCTGGACCTTGATAGGGGCTCCATAAAGGTTTGTTAAATCACCACCTGACTTTATCATATGCTTATGTTCTTCCAGGTTCTAAGTGCTTTAGATCCATGATATCACTGAGTCCTTGTAACCACCCTCAGAAGTAGGAGTTACAAACACATTGGGCCAGTGAGAAAAATCAAGGCTCAGGGAGGTTACACCCCTTGCCCTGTTTGTTTGCTAAGAGGCTCACAGAGCATTTGAGACTGCAGAGCCTGGACTTCTAATAGCCTCAGGTCAGAAAGAACCAAGGTCTGGATGTTTGGGGAAGAGGGGAAGGCGACCAGGTGGGATGTGTAGCTCCTCATCCTTTGGAAGCAGCAGAACCTGCATCTTAGATGCCTGCCCGTTCTTCTGTGATTTGTGGTAGGGATGAGGGTTCTGGGGCATTCAAGAAGCCCTTTGGCCTCTGCTGCTCCTTCATCCTCACCTCCCCTTTCCCCTACCCAGCCCATGCAGGTGCTGTTCTCTGGTGAGGCCACTCACCGCAAGTACTACTCCACCACCCATGGTGCTCTGCTCTCTGGCCAGCGCGAGGCTGCTCGTCTCATCGAGATGTACCGAGACCTCTTCCAGCAGGGGACCTGAGGGCTATCCTCACTGCCTAGCGAGCATGTTCCTTAAAGAACAACTAACTCGTGACTGCCAGCCCCTGCCCCTTGCCCCCTTGTGCCCCTAACTTCCCAATCCTCTGTAGAATGGATTTTAATCTTTGGTAGAGCTAGATAATCTGGCTGGCCTCAGACCCAGCCCTGTAGCTGTTCCTTTTCTCCAGACCAGTTGGTGACCCTGTGGGGCCCGTTGATTTACCTCTGTGCTGGGATGCTGACTCCTGCACCTCCCCTTCTCCCTCCTTGTTATTGCAAGTGCCTTCAATACTTTGCATTTTGGGATAATAAAAGAGGCCACCCTTCCTGTGCTCCTCAGCTTCTCTCCTCAGTTCTCCTCAGCCTCTGCGTGTGTGTTTTTAATCACACCTCCTTTGAGGGGGGGTTGGTGGGGGGAACCATGGCCTGACGATGTCCCCAGAATGGTAGGTGCTTGCATTTACTGGAGGGGATGTCCCCCTCACCGTATTTGTGGCTAAACAGAGAGGTTCCTCAGGAATATAGGCCTCACCCTGCCCAGTGCTGGCTCCTTCAGGATGGGCCTAGGTCTGCTTCATGGCCCTTTGCCAGACTTCTTGGAGCTTAATTGGATGATGAACTGCATGGAGTGAGGTGAGTTCCATGTGTGGAGACCCCACTTGTGGCTCCCTGCCAGGCTCAGATGTGTTCATTGTTAATCTGTTGCTGGTCACAGGGTGGTGGATCTGGCCCTTGCAGAGGTGTCTTTTGAGCCTTTGGGATTTTGGTTACCTTGCCCTTTTTTTTTTCTTTTTTGGTGGCAGGGAGATATCCTGAGTGTGACCCATCTGCTGTGTTCTAAGGATCTGCCACTTATGGGAGGTGGGGATAGAATTTTCTTCTCTTTTTGCTGAGTGGAATATGTCTCTGCACTTTTACTCCCCCCACACACCTATAGGTGCTTCTTGTGCACATGTAGACATACAGCCTCCATCCATGTACCTACACATAACATGAACCTACATACACACATGCACATACCTGAGTTTATCCACGAGAAGTGTTTATAGAATTTTTGCCAAGGATCCATACCCATCTGCTGGCATAACTTAAAAATTTTATATATATATATAACATTTTTTTTGGACAGAGGATTGTATTCATGTGATTCAAGCCCAAAAGCTCTTTGAATTGTATATTTTTTGAGGGTGGGGGGATACTAGGGTTTGGACCCAGGGGTGCTTAATCACTGAGCCACATCCCAAGTTCTTTTAATTTTTTTATTTTGAAATGGGTCTTGCTAAGTTATCCAGGACCTTGCTAAGTTGGTGAGGTGGGCCTGAACTTGTGATCCTCGTGCCTCAGCCTCCTGAGCTGCTGGTATTACAGGTATGTGTCACCGAACCTGGTGAAACAACCCTTGTTATACCTGTCCAGAATCACCATTGCTCCTCCATATCCCCTTGCTATTATGTCAGGTGTTTCTCTTCTTAGATATGTCAATATTAAGATACTTTTCCTTCTTTTTATACAACAATGCCAAAGTATTCATCCTGTCCTTTATTTTGCTTTTTTAGATTAACGGTATACACTGGACATCTTTCCACAGTAGTACTTAAACAGACTATGTAAATTTAGACATTACTTTGGTTAAAGCAGGTCTGACTCCTTCCGTCTTCGTGCCTTGGAGGCACCTGTCCACCTCTCACCCTCCCCAGCTCCTGGTTTTCCCCACCAACTGCAGTGAGATGGGCAGAAGTAAACCCATGGCATAAATATGGGGGAAGAAAGTAATACAGGTTCTTGGGGTCACAGGCATAGGAATTGTAAGGGACTCCATGGGTATGAGAGGGTGGGAAATGTTTCTTTGGTGACTCCATGTCAGGTATGGGTAAGAGGGAGGGAGAAAACATTCACCTGGCAGGGTGTCAGTCATAAATGATGGGCACATTGTCTCTTGATTTGTTATGGATGCCAGCTTTGGCTGGAAGAGTGACTGATCCCTGAAGGTAAGTGAAGTCTCGTGTGGTTAATAAGTGTGCCCATTGTCACCCAGGTAGGTAGTGATACTGAGATCTGCATGACCCCACAGTCAGGCTCATTCTATTGTATTGTACTTGATGAAGAAAAGAGATTGAAGCCACTAAAGCAATCTGAAGCCATTGCCAGAGAGGGTGGACATGAGTACAGCCTCCCTGGGAGGCTGTGTGACTGATTCTACCAAGGCAGGTCTTGTGCTTGCTAGAATTTCCCCCCTGATTTCCATCCAAGAGAAATCTGAGTGCAGATGCCCACAAAAGATGTGTACCAAAATTTTCATAGCAATGAAGTTTACAATAACTACAAACTGGAATCATCCCAGCTGTCCACCCCCATAGAAAAAATAGATGAATTGTAGTGCATTCATACAATGGAATACTACTTAGCAATAGAATAAAATAAATGACTGTTTGCAACAACGTGGATTATCTCAAAGACATGGTTTATTGTTGAATGGAAAAATCCAGACACAAGGCCATGTCCTAGATGATTTCTTTTATATAAAGTTTAAGAACCTGCAAAATGAAGCTATGGCATTAGCAGCGAGGAGATGGGCATAGTTAATAGGAGTTCATGCATTGGTAAAAATGCAAGTCACATACTGAATATTTATGCATATTTTTGTATTGTGTGACTTAATTTAAAAGATTAA